ACACATAAAACCAACCATGGGAGTGTTCGCTTGTTACTACTGTTCACTCATCAGGGTGGGCCCCAGGTTTACTAAACTCTCTCCTCTCTCTCTCTCTCCTTTGTTTTGTTCTTTTAAAAAAACAGTATTTTTGAAGCTAAAGAGCAAACTTTATTTTACATATTTCTGTCTATCTACATCTACCTACCTACCTACCTACCCACCCAACCATACATCCATCTATCCAGCCAACCTTAGTTCTTGGGCACAATATCATTATCAGTCCCAGTAGAGACCTTCTGCTCTATATCTCTATTTCCATTCCCACTGCCATTTGTTTGATACGCATATTTGAGTACATGCATATTCTTGTAAAATATTGCAGGTTGCTTTGTGCATGTATGTATTCATTTTGAACTTTTTAAGTTTGAAATGATTTCAAACTTATAGAAATATTGATATAATAAAAAGCCTTTTCATGTGTCCTTCACTCAGATTCAGTTGTTAATATTTTGCAATATTTGCTTTATCTCTTTCTGTAAATGTACATGAATTTTTTTCCTTAGGTATTTGAGAGTAAGTTGTAGACATTTCTCTTATCCCCAAATATTTTATCATCTATTTCCTAAGGAGAAAAGATAATCTCCTAAATAACCACTAATAGCCCTGCGCATGAATCCGTGTGCCAGTAGTTTGCCAGTAGCTCGCTGCCACCCCCCAATAGCTCTTCCCTCCCCTTCCTTTTCTCCTCTCCATAGCTTGCTGCCCTGCCCTTTCCTGTAGCTCGGTGCCCCACCTTCCTACTGATCCGTGATTTGGTCATTATGCAGTCTGTTGTTATGCTTCACAGTGTAATGACTATTTGCATATTATATCTTTATTATATAGGAGAATATAGCTGTCAAATTAGAAAATTTAACATTGGTATACTTCTATCATCAATATACAATCATATTCAAATTTTATCAGTTGTCCCAGAAATGTTCTTTATAACCTCCCTTCCTTCTCCAATCCAGTTTTCATTGCATTTAGTTATGTCTCTTTAGTCTTTAGTTTGGAACAATTCCTTGACCTAGTATATGAAAGTGTGTATGTAACTTTTGTTTACATGTTTGATATAGTGTATAGACATTGTTCTTTTTCTTAATTTTTCACTATTTTTAAGGTCCACCCATATTTATGTGTAGACATGTATCTTGTTTGCTGACTCCAAGTTCTGTTTAGTATTCCATAATATGCATCTGCCAAAGTTTACTTATCCATTCCCTAATGACAGACACCTAGATTGTCTTTATCTCCTTGCTATCATAAATAATCCTGTCATGAACATCTTTATGCATATTCTCTTTGGGAATATTTCCGGGATATATATCCAAGAATAGGATTTCTGAGTCATAATGTATCTGCCTATTTAATCTGACTAAGTCCTGCTGAATTGCTCTCTGGAACAGCTGCCCTGACCACATTACAAATATCGTGAACTAAGATCCCAGTTTCTCTACATTATTCCCAACACTGAGTACTAGGTAACATTCTTATATTTGTCAGTATGATGGTTTTAAAGTGGTCTCTTATTTATTTTCTCTTATCACTAATGAGCTTCACTTTTTTTTTTCCTTTCTAAGTTCTTCAATAATTTCCTCAGGAGAGAAAAAAAAACCTTTTCTCTCTTACACTTCTGAATTTTTTAAAACTATGTACTCTATTGTGTATTTTTCAGCTGTATAAAAATTTTCATTTTTTTCTAAGTAACTACAAAAGATAGAATTTCTGGAATACTGTATATATTAGCATATGAAAACAAAATTGTTATATATGTCTTTTAAAAATATCCAATTGAATCTGAATGCCATAGCAATTTGGAAACTATCGTATGCCTTTAAAAAAATACACACTCATTTTTATTTTATAGTTAAAATCTTAATCATTTTTTCCCTTTAACTAAATATGTTTGCTTCTTCTCTCCCTCCCAGGCTATTACCCTAATATATATTTTATATTTTAAATATATTTAAACATATATTTTATGCTCAAAAGTATGTTTAATTATATAAAATATCTCCATAAAATATATCTATATAGCAATTACATTAAAAATTTCCTATAATCATAAAGAATTTTTCCTGAATTATTTTTTTAAATAGCAATCATTATTAGTTAATGATTGGTCAGAGGGGCATATCCACATTACAGATTTTAAAAATAATAAAATATAAAAGTAAATAAAATATGAAAGCAAAGTTTTTATGAGAAGATGTATCTTTAATTAGATGTATTTTTTAATTATTGCATTTATCTTTGTATTCCTATAAAATAAGGTAGACCCTAGCTGATTTGGGCCAGTGGATAGAGACTGAGGAGTCTCGGGCTCAATTCCAGGCAAGGGCACATGCCCAGGTTGTGGGCTCGATCCCCAGTAGGGGGTGTACAGAAGGCAGCCAATCAATGATTCTCTCTCATCATTGATGTTTCTTTTTTTCTTTTTCTTTTTTAAAATATATTTTATTGATTTTTCACAGAAAGGAAGGGAAAGGGATAAATAGCCAGAAACATTGATGAGAGAGAAACATTGATCAGCTGCCTCCTGCACATCCCCCACTGGTGATGTGCCCGCAACCAATGTATATGCCCTTGACCGAATCGAACCTGGGACCTTTCAGTCCGCAGACCGACGCTCTATCCACTGAGCCAAAATGGTTTCGGCAATCATCATTGATGTTTCTATCTCTCACTCCCTTTCCCTTCCTCTCTGAAATCAATAATAAACAAACAAACAAACAAATAAATAAAATAAGGTAGGATTTCAGCATTAGTTCAAGTTCTTTATTTTGTTTCTGTAGATGATGAATGCTTTGTTTACACAAGTCAGTAGATGAGATGAAAGGAGTTTATTATAGAAATATCAATCAATTCATTGAACTTCTTTTGAATTATTTGTCTAAACATAACCATAGTGATCTATCATGAAAAAATAATTTTTACAACCCATCAGCTGTTAATTTGATTATACCCTCCTATAAATTTGATGAAAGCAAGAAACTACCTCATATATTTATTATTCAATCATTAACACCATACTCTTTCTCAAAGCTGACACCGAATGTTTTCCATCTCTCTTTTCTTGATGCCCATCCATATTTTTCTACTCCAAGACTTTGAACTGTTGTAAAATTGAGGGTGGGTGAAAAATAAGGTTTTCTTTTGTAAGTGGAAGAAATTTAATTTCAAAAGAAGAAACTTGATTTTTTAAAAGAATAGAGTACAATAAGGAAGTTGAAGATCTCGAAAATGACTTTCTTAAAACCATCTGTGCCTACCTACACCTATCTCAGCATGACTGCGGAATATTTAAGAGACTGCTGCTAAAGGGAAATAATATTTTAAAGTTATTATCATTTGACAAGAATTGTAGTAGTACTCATACAGTAGCACCAACCATTCAGAGAAATATAGAATATTAAGTTTATTGAATTAAGAATTTGAACAAAAGAGTCTTTTATGTAAAGTTGTAGCTGATTATTTTGACAGAATATATGTCTAATTCAACTAATTGTAAATCTCACCATCATGTCCTTCGAAGAGCATTCAAATAGGTTGATTCCAGCATGTTGATGTTAAGTGGGAAAATGAAATATTGGTGTTCTTGGATAGTTATCTGGTATTTTAACATGGGTTTCTGGACTTTTTCTTTCACTTCTTCTTTTGCTTATGATAGTTCTTTTGCCTGCAATACTAGTTTTCCTTTCTGCCCCCCATGTATGAATATATTATATGTCCTCATTATAGCTCTTTTATATCGTATTTATAAAGGCCAATTCATTCTATGCATGTCTCAAATCTAATCCCACTTCTCCATCCAATGCTCTAGTTCATACCCACATCATTTTTTATTGATAATGACCTTCCATCTGCTCCCCTTGGGTCCATTCTCTTCCCACTCCAATGTCTCTAGTGCAAAATTACTATGATGACCTGTCTAAAATACAGATAAGTCCTTATTCTCCTACTCAGAAATCGTCAGCCATTCTTGCAAATCTTCAATGTCTCTACACTGCCAAATGTATTAATATTTACTTTCATTAATTGTCTTCTCAACTAGCTGTCCAATTGTTTTCTCTAGCAACTATCTTCATCTATTTTATACTCTTGTCACACAAGTCATTTATTTCCTTGAACACACATCATTTATTAGAATGTCACAATGGAGACATATTTATTTTTTAGTAATACTCAACCTGAACTTTTGGCTACTTGTGATGAAAGGCTAAAATTTATTTATATGTAGTGGTTATGTATCCTTTACAGAAAAATTTTGGTGTATTATTAAATATTTTAAAATCACATTGATGGCACTAAACATGGCTTAGGACACCAAAAACAAACAAACAAAAGCTTTGAAAAATAAAGGGAGATGTTAATAAAGAAAAACTTTATCTCCATAATCATTCAATATATCAAGACTTTTCAAAATGTGTTTTGAAAACACATACAAGCCTAAATTGTCTATGTATTTAATTCTCTCTTATTTATATTAGTAAGAAAAAGGACTTTGTATTTGGACTACAACCTAGGACTCAATGGATCAAAACCATCTTCTTATAATTCCTTTCTGATTCATAGTGAATTATGAACTCTAGCATCTTAATAGGCAGGTTCTGCTAACAATTACAACACTGTGTGATCATTAATAGGTCTTGTATTTTTACTAAATTTGTTTTTCTAATCTATAAAGTGAGAATTAATACATATTCTGTATCTGTTCAAGAAGAAATAACATTTGAGATTACTGTATATGATAAATTTAAAGAGATTTGGAAATATATCATATTATTGACTTATTCCTTAGTCTCTTTAACTTTAAGCCTATATTTCCTTATAGTATCTAGTCTACCGTTATGGAAGGCATATGTTAATAAAACTAATACATGATCAAATAATAAAATAAAGGATATATTGGGGTTTGTTTTATTATTTTTTCTTATTTCTTTTATGTTTCTTATGTTTCTTTCTTGTTAAAACAGTTTTGGTATGAACCATGATGGACTTGGAAATCCTTGTGGGACGAAAGGTCATGAAACAGCAAAACTTATGGCAGCTCACATTACTGCAAATACCAATCCTTTTTCCTGGTCTTCCTGCAGTCGAGACTACATCACCAGCTTTCTAGAGTAAGTAATCTCTGGAGAGTGATGATGAATTACTCTAGAAGTAAGCCATTGCTAGAAGCCTAATATATGGTGCTTCAAACTTTGCATAATGAGTACCTTTTATAGGGCCCAGCAATATTTCAGGTGGTTCCAAAAGTACTTCAGTATATCATTGTGGCAAATATTTTCCTTCATACTCAAATAAAACTTACAGAATAGATTGGAGGAACTGAAGCAGGGATTTAAGTGGGGTTGATGATATCAGTGTTAGAAATGTTCACTAAATGGGAAGCAATGTCAGAAAAAATGTAGACTAATACAATTTAATAGAGCATAGTTCAGGCTTTAATTCAGTGGTTATACATTTCATTTACTGGTGAAAAAAACAACACCCGAGTTCTATAAGAATGCCATAGGACCTAATTGTAGCAATCAACAACAATAAAAAATCAAACACCCGGGAAATAAAAATGAAAAATTGAAAATTTGTCTTTGAAAATTTGTTTTAAAATATATTTTTATGGGTTTCAGAGAGGAAGAGAGAGATAGAAACATAAACTAATAGAGAGAATCATTGATCGGCTTCCACCTGCATGACCCGTATTGGGATCAACACGTGATCTCCTGGTTCATAGGCTGACGCTCAACCATTGAGCCACAGTGGCCAGGCTTGACAATTTATTAAGAAACACATCTTTCCTACAGTTTGGGACCTTCTTTCTTTTCTTTTACTGTGTATTTCAAGAGTTTGTGAAGAATATAAATTACTAGCTAATAGGAAGGCAGGTGTTGAACACTTCCACATTTTACCTGCGCAGCGGGCTTCAGTATTGAACTCTGTAAACTAATAGACTTAGGCTCATTTTCTAACTGTGTGACCTTGGGCATGTTACTTCAGCTTTCTAATCTCCAGATTCTCATTTCTTAAATGAGCTTAGTTAATAATATATACAACATTAGTTATTCTGTATATAATTCTGTATAATGATAAAATGTATTAAAACACTTAAAAGACATTCATCAAGTGGTAAATATTACTATTTTAAATGATATCAAGGTTTTAAGCTCTATGGCTCTGTCATTACCTTCAATAATTTTGTGCCATTTTTTTTCCCTTGGGGAGAAGAGATTAAATACTCTGTGAAAAGGTGAGTCATACATAAAGCACAGGTGATTAATTAATCAGAATTTGAAAATTCTTTTTAAAAACTTTCCCTTCAAAGTTTATGTTAACATACTAATAGGGGCAGCATTTTTAAAAATTCAGATAGGTTATGTAGGATAACCTACTAGTAAGTTTGTTCAAGTTTTGGATCATAGCTAGGAATGTTCTGATAATATTCTGAAAACTTATAAATAGTTATTTTTTAGAAAGCCTCAACAAGAGGTTTAAAAAATACCTATTATGGTGCTTTACTCAATCAAAGATCAAAAGATAAATGCTTAAAATGGGCTCTTTTGAATTAACTATTATAATATAATAATGAAATTGAGGGAATTCACTTAGAAGGTAGTGCTGCGTAACCTGACAAGTTTTAACCGTAATAATAGACAATTTTAGCTCTGTGCTTGCCTGGTGCCAAAACTGGGTAAAGGGTTATAAAGATAGACCATAGACCACAGATAATTTGTTGGACATCTTTTGGTAGTTTTTTTTTCCCCCCACAACGCACTTGCAATATCATTTTTCAAGATTTTTTTTAAAATGAGATCATATTACCTAAATTTAAACATTGTTGAAAATCTGCTCTTCCCAGAAATCAAGCCAGATCTGCCATTTCTCCCTTGACTTGGCTCATGTTTTTCTAATGGAATCTTAGTATCTGTCACCAGAAAGACAAATTATATAACATGCTCAGTATTCCTGTGCATTTTCAAAGGCTTCCCTCCTCTTGTTCTTTTCAAGTACAATTTTTTTTTCTCCTCTTTTCTGTTTCTATTGCACAGCCCTTTGCTAGACAGTCTCTGTATGCATACTAAATACAAGGACCATGTTTCATTTCTTGCCAGCACCTACTCCATTGAAATAATATTAAGGCCATTAAAACATTCCAAAAGGAAACCCCAAAATTGCTGATAAAATATAGTTAAGAAATCACCACTGGTTTGGTGAGAGATGTAAATCTCTTATTAATTACAAGAAAGTGTCTCATTGAATTAATTAAAATAATTAATACAAAGAGCATTTATTTAAGTCTTCTATCTCTCTGCATTTTGTATGTGTAAGCATGATTAGTATTGTCCGGGTTCTAATAGGCTTATTTATCCTGTATTTTATAAAAATATTTCTGTTTTGCATTCTCCTGGGGATACTCACAAAATTTAAGCCATTTGTGAGAGACAGATGTGAAAGACAATGAGTAGCAATTTGGGGAAAGTTGCCCCCCCAACCCCTAATAAACTAAACAACCTTGATCATAATCTGACTAAGCAGTAAAGATTTTTAAAATACAAAGCCCTTTAAAAAGGTCAGTTTACTGGAGCACAAAAACATAATAGTAACTTTCTTGAATTTCTTTGTTCCTTTTTTTATTAATGCAGCGCACTTAATTGCTTTAGCAGCTATGTGTGATATTTTTTAAAATCCAGTGATATTTTGATCAGGGATTGAGGTTACATTTATGTTTTATAGTTGGCTCAAAAAGACTCATAACATTTTATTTCAGTTTCTCCTCTCAAGAAAAAGAAATCTGTAAAGATGAATTGTTTAGGAACTGTAGCCCAGCCAACAAAATGCATACCTTTCTCTACTTAGTAACTGTATAGGCCAAAGATGGTGGATTTTAACAATGAGCTTTCTATGATTTATAGATTCACTATTCACTATGTTCAACAGAAAACCATTCCATGGCCTTTACATGCCAATATAATAAAAAGTCTCTTGTGTCAAACCCTACGTGCTACTGATCAACCAGGAGATGGTGTTTACCAACTCCCAATATTTTTTTTCAGATTTCTTAAACTCGGTGATTCAATAAGTGGTTCATGAATCGCCCAGAAGCCGTCCTGATTAAGTAATAAAGAGCCTATTTCCGTTAGAATGGACGTGTTATGCCAGCTTCTGATGTTTTCGCCGACGGCTTTGCAGGTAGTGTCCTTCCTATCTGCCTGCGGGACTTATTTATTTATTTACTGACTTAGAAAGTGGAGAAAGATGAACCTGGTATCATGACTCACTCTCACTGATGACACTGGGCTAAGTTACCAGGCAGTGGAAGGCAGCCAGAAGTCATTTAGTTAAGTTTTTTTTTTCTTTTTCTGTCCCCCCCTCAAATATATTTCCCACCACTTAGTGGTAGTACAGAGTAATTTCATATAGTTTTTAAAAATCCTGAAGCTTCTGTGAATCAGTGTGCTCTATTTAATTAAAGTCTGTTATATGTTTGAGCTGTCAAAGATCCACAGCAAAATCTCCTATAGTTACACATTAAATAGAGATGATCCATTTTCACAGAAAGGATGGAAGATGAAAAGGAAAGGCAACATTGTGGCTGAAATTGAGGTAGGAAGAAAGGTGAGTGCAGAGCCACAAGAGAAGTGACATCAGATGAACAGGATGACTAAGGCACTCATATTTCTTCTATAGTATCTACTTTGAAGGTTAATGTCAATGATCTGTTAGACGGAAAGCAGTTTTATAGTTGGGATCTCTTTTTTTTTTTTTTTAACGTGGAATCCATGGAACAGCTTAGAAAAACAGATTTCTCCTCATTCCATGTTTCTGACACTCTTGGGGGACTTCACTTAAACCCATAAATATCATCGATAAGTTTTAATCGCATATGGAGAAAAAGAGAGCATAACTTAGTGAACCGTTATTGATACTGTGTTTGTATATTGGAAGCTTCAAGTTCAGTTTTGTTCAAGGACCCTCTCATCCAGAGGATAAGAAAGGAAGATCTGACTTAAAGAAACTCATTTTAGGATGGAATGTATGGTTAGTTTTGTGAAGACTGGTAGTGCAGTTTATGAGAACACAGTAGGTAAGAAACTTCACTTGTAATAGATGATACCAACTTAATTCATTTTTACTTGGTTTAGATTTATGAGCACAATTCTGTGGAAAATAATACCAGAGGGCATTATTTAAGTTAACTTTTTGCTGCTGTTGTTCAAAGACTGTTAAGATATGTACAGAGTTATATAGAAAGATTTATTTTTTAGATTGACCCACTGTACTATAGACTAAAGGTCTATCTATACTTTATTGCAGTGGTTGGCAAACTCATTAGTCAACAGAGCGACAAAGCAGTTTGCCAACCACTGCTTTATCGTATAATTGTTGAAGTGAAAAATAAATATACAATTACAATTAAGGGTATGTCCTCATGTGTTCTGGAAACAAAGCCAAGAGTGCATATTTTATGTAAGGGTCTGTAAATTTTACTTGAAGACTCAAGTCTGGCTCACGTTTCTATTTTCAAGGCTAACTTTTGAGCTATGTAAATAAGACTTCTCTAAATTAGAAGTAGAATACATAAAATATGACTTTGCTATCATGCTACGAGGATTTCTGGAAATGTAAATATACTTTGATTTACTAAGAATTTCTTAGTCAAGGAAAAAGCATGTTCTTCAAACTGATACACATTTTTTGTTTTGCCTTGTCTTAGAAGCATAACAAAAGCAGAGTCTATGAATTCAATAGTTATCTATATTTGCTGTATATTTTAACTAGGATTGGGCTTTTAGTTATGAAATATATGCAGATAGGGAAATAATCACAATTTTACTTTTTAAGTTTATTCTTTTGCTCTAGACACCTGTATATTATACTTAACAATAGTGAGTTGCATTAACATCCCAGATGGAAACTACTAACAGTATCCTTCATTTTTTTAATGATGAGTGAGTGAGGTTTATGTTTTCTGAGTGGAAAAGTTCTCATATGTCATTAAAACACAAACAATGTTTAAAAGTGCTATTTGATGAGAAAATATTTTATGTAATATTACCACTGTTATTATTTTGATAGTAGTAGCATAAATAATACTAGATTCATCATCATAAGAATTGTATGATTGAACTGATGAGCTAGAACCCTGGATTAAATAAAAATTACTCATAACTTCCACTTTGCTAAAAGGAAATAATTATAAAATATAAACAAAAATCTCATCTGTAATATTTTAAAGAGAAAATATTTGCACAGGAGGCCTGTACAAAAATATTCTTATCCTCATAATTTGCAATTTCCAGAAATTAGAAATAATTCACATGCTCATTTGATAACTGTGGTATAGTCTTAAATGGAATGTCGAAGAACAATATGAATGGTTAGGCTATAGTTCTACACATCAATATCGATATGTCCCACATTCTTAGTACTGAGTGAGTGAAATAAAGTCACAAAGGAAAACCTACAATATGACTCCTATCATACAGACTCCAAAATTAGGCAGCTGAATATTGGGAGGTAAAACTACTAATACAATGAAGGAAATTGTTATTAAACAATCAGAATATTAGTTACTTCCTGAGTGACATGAGGGGTCTAATTGGGATATACTACTTGGGTAATTTAAAAATAAAGAAAAGTACTTCCAGGGTTAATATAAATCTCTACTTGAAATTCACAGGAAAGTAGCAGACAAACGTTAGTAACCTTATGCAAAAGTATTTTTGCCACTTAACCCTCAGTTAAAAATTAAAATATGAAAATGACTCATTCCCCAAATACTTTGAGCAAGATTTTATTGTATAATATATACCAGGTATGGTTACTAGGAGGAAACCATGTACTATATAGAAACACTTTAAAGCAGCCTTGTCCCATACTGCTTTCCTGGAGCCGGTAATAATAGGTATGACACTTGACTTGCAAATATTGCAAATGTCACCAAACCCATCTCAAAAGGCCTTGTTGATGTCATGTTCCTAAATATGCATGTTCATTCTTAAGAATCTATATGATTTTTTGCTTATATTTTGTTTTACATGTTATTTTATTCTGTAAAACATAACTGGAAACGGAGAACAAGACTTGTGTAGATATTTAGTGAGACCACTTTAATACATAGGAATAGGTTATTCCAAAGAACTGAAACACAAATCCAGTTTGGGATACACTGACTGAGTAGAATTTGGCCACAGTGACCACAGTGCATGGCATTCTTCATTGTCTGGAGGCCCTGGCAATGGTCTCTGCATTTGGTGTTTTTAAAGAGCAGGAACCGTGATTGGAAGACCATTAATACCCAAGAACTTCAAAAGAATAAGTATTGTCACTTACTCCTGGATTAAATCAATTTTCAGTACGCTATCAAGAAGGAATTTTTTTTAAAATATATTTTATTGATTTTGTACAGAGAGGAAGGGAGAGAGATAGAGAGTTAGAAACATCGATGAGAAAGTCATCGATCAGCTGCCTCTTGCACACCCCCTACTGGAGATATGCCCGCAACCAAGGTACATGCCCTTGACCAGAATCGAACCCGGGACCCTTCAGTCCCCAAGCCTACGCTCTATCCATTGAGCCAAACCGGTCTCGGCAAGAAGGAATTTTTTTTCTCATCCTATCTAGGCTTAAACTTTTGAGGTCCACATAATTTTTCCTATAAATATTTTAGGTTAATTTTCTGTATTCCTAAAAGTAATTATGTATAAATTTTTAAATAGATTTTTAATTGGTGCCATGTAGGTGATTACATATTATATACTTCAGTGAATATATAATTAATTATACTTTCTGCTTTATGTATTTACCTGTAGAACCCTGTACTTAAGAACTTCAGTACTTAAAATTTCCCCATTGATCTAGAGTAGTACTTAACTTGATAACTTATTTTTATTACATATTTAACTCTTTCATCGAGACTTTTATAATTTTGTTGCAGAGACATTTTTTAAAGAAAATTAAGGAATTAAGCAACTAATCCAATAATCTAACAACTATTGCATGTTATCAAAATGGTACATCTTCTTTTATTATATTTTTTGCCTTGACCTTATCATTAACCTTAGTGTAAAAATTTGAGTTTACTATAATAGTAGAATTACATTTGCCTAAAATTTGCATATGCATATAGGTTAAAGATGTTTTATATTATAACATAAAAAGAACTTGCTGTTTCTAAAATTAATAAGAAATAATTATCTTACTGAAATACACGGCAATTTTTAAAAAGTACAAAAAACAAGAAATAAAAAGCATTCTGTCATGAATACTGGATAGCTGGGTGAAAAAAGAAAAAAGTTGTTCTCTGTTAGATAGAAACCTTGAGCAGTGACAAGTGAATTGATTGTAATAGCCAATAGTAAAACCCCTCTGTATTAGTACCATATTGAATATTCCATCTAAATATTTTATTGATTAAAAATTAATCAGGAAAGGTCATAAATGAAAGGAAAAATTTGTAAAGAAAACAAGTATTCTGTCCTTTGGATCCCCCCACATTACCAGCTTTGGATCTTTTAATCTATCACCTTATGAATAATAAGTTTCAATTTTTAAAAGATATTAATTTGCTGCAGTGCAAATACGTTTGTATATAGCAAATGAACTTCTACATTTTAAGACTGTGATAAAATTTTAAGCAAATATCAAACTCACTATAATGCATGTCTCTTTTCTACTTATCTATAAATGAAAGTTTGTGCTGTCCTAAATAATAGTTGAAGAACTTATACTTGTGAAATTATTTTCCTTTGGCAAAGCAGATGGAAAAGATTTTGGGGGAAAAAAAACACAAGTGCTGGCACAATTGACAGGAATGTTGGAAAAAATTTTTAAATGTTGGCATAGGAATTCTTTAAAAATTCTAACTTACATGTGAAATGAAAGTACAAAAGCATCTGTCCTATTTTATGCACACTGACTGAATAAAATGAACAATTATATTTAGCAAAGTATAAAGCTCTTTAAACTAAGGTATTCTGTCTGGGTTTTGGCAATCTTTATGTTATTTGTTCCACTGAATTAAAATATTATGTTTGAGTACAAACACACTTTGAAAAGCAGAAATTATATAGAGAGGAGAACATTCCCTTTCTTAACTCTGATGACCCTAAATGAAATATGAAATTTTTGAGAGACTAAACATTTGTAATATACTTGAGAGGAGAACTTTGGATCTTTGCCTCATCTGTCATTCAGCTCGTTTATTATTGAAATATTTCAAGAACCTTTGGACATGTCATATATTGTTCTGCCCAAGGTGGAAGTATATAGATTAAGTCTTTAAGGATTACAACCACAATTTCCCCCCCACATTTTATGTTTTTAATTCTACTACCAGATGTGGTTATATTTTCACTGAAAGCAAACAAGAAACTTACAGCAACATGAAATTCTGTTTTGATTCCTTCAGAAATTAGTTTAAATCTGTTTTAAGGCCAACATTTTCGGATTGTTGTCTAAGATACTTTTATTATGTCTTGGTGCTGGAAAAAAGAATGGAACTCCTGTTCAGGTTTCAGTCAAGTTATTTGGCCATGTGATTATTTCTTGGTAGGAAGTATTGTTTTTCATGCATCACGTTATTAAAACAAAGAGCTCAATACCTGGTTTCATAATTGTGATTGAAATGGTCCATAGTGTCCCTAATTTTCTTTGATCCTTTGTGTTGAACAGTTCAGGCCGTGGCACTTGCCTTAATAATGAGCCTCCCAAGCGTGAATTTATTTACCCAACTGTGGCCCCAGGTCAGGTGTACGATGCTGATGAGCAATGTCGGTACCAGTACGGAGAAGGATCCCGCCAATGTAAATTTGGGGTAAGAAGTCTCAATCCTTATGTTTAGTTGTTTCTATGTGATCTTTCATGATACAAATGTTAGGATAGAGTTTTGATGAATATACTTTACCTCTGATAACATTGTTAATGCAAAAATTGCCTTTGATGCTGCTTTTTTTCTGAAATTGGTGTATCATTTCTAAATGTTTGCATAATCCTATATTAAATAATTTTCAAATGTCTTTTATAATTTTTATTGTATTTCTTCTTTAAGTCCTAAATTTACGATGTCAACTGAAATTTATCTTAAGAAATGTTATGGCTTTGAAAACTCTCCCTCACCTTCACCCTCACCTTTTCTGGTACTCTAATAACTGCATTAAGGGTATTTTTATATTGGCTAGGAGAAGCCTTTATTTAATATATTCTAGTACTGAGTCATTTTAAGTCGCTTCAGTCCATTGCTCATATTCTAACACAACAACCATGTGGGACAAGATGATGCTAACCCAAATAGAGAAACAAGGAAAATTGTTGTGGGGAAAAAAGATACTATGATTGACTCTCCGTGACTGCCTAAAGAAGTCTGTCTAGCTCAGAAAAACGAATACAAAATTCTTCTTGAGTTTCATAGAGAAAGATTTCGCTGTTTAGGATAAGGACATTTTTATAGTCGGTACACGTTATAAGCATGTTTTTAAAAATGTATTTGTATTGATTTCAAAGAGGAAGGTTGAGGGAGAGAGAGCTAGGAACATCAATGATGAGAGAGAATCATTGATTGGCTGCCTCTTGTACACTCCCACCAAGGATCAAGCCCACAACTCAGGCATGTGCCCTGACCAGGGAATCGAACCTTGATCTCCTGGGTCTAGGTCAACGCTCAACCACTGAGCCATGCTGGCTGGGCAAGCATGTTGAAAGAAAAAAATAGAAATTTAAATAAATTGTCCAAAAATATTCAGGAGTTTATTTATTTTATTTTTTTAATATTTTTATTTATTATTATTATTTTAAAAAATAAATCTTTATTGTTCATTTTATTACAAATATTCCTCATTTCCCCCCCCCTTCCATTGCTCCCCTCCACCAGGTTCCCACCCCACCCTCTGCCCTTTCCCCACCCCCCATTGTCCTCATCCATAGGTGCACAGTTTATGTTCAGTCTCTTCCCACATCCCCCTCTCCCCTTTTCCCCAAGAATCGTCAGTTCACTCCTTTTCCATACCTCTGATTCTATTATATTCACCAGATAATATTGTTCATCAGATTTTTTTTTAATTTTCTTGGTTTTTAGATTCACTTGTTGATAGTTAGATATTTGTTGTTCATAGTTTTTATCTTTATTTACTTTCTCTTCCGAAAGAACCCCCTTCAGCAATTCATATAATTCTGGTTTGGCAGTGATGAACTCCTTTAGCTTTTCTTTATTAGTGAAGCTCTTTATCTGACCTTCGATTCTGAGTGATAGCTTTGCTGGGTAGGTTATTTTTGGCTTTAGGTTCTTACTATTCATCACCTTGAATATTTCTTGCCATTCCCGTCTGGCCTGCACGGTTTCTGTTGAGAAATCAGCTGACAATCGTATGGGTACTCCTTTATAGGTAACTACCTGCTTTTCTCTTGCTGCTTTTAATATTCTCTCTTTGTCTTTTGCTCTTGGAATTTTAATTATGATATGTCTTGGTGTGGTCTTCTTTGGATTCCTTTTGTTTGGAGTTCTGTGCGCTTCCCGGACTTGTAAGTCTAATTCTTTCACCAGGTGGGGGAAGTTTTCTGTCACTATTTCTTTCAGTATGTTTTCAATATCTTGCTCTCTCTCATCTTCTGGGACCCCCATAATTCTGATGTTGGTTCGCTTGAAGTTGTCCCAGAGGTTTCTTACATTATCTTCAACTTTCTGGATTCTCTTGTCTTCTTGCTTCTGTGGAGGAGTGTCTTCTGGCTCTTTATGTTCCAAATCTTTGACTTGATTCTTGCGATCATCCATTCTGTTTTTAGGACTCTGTATAATATTTTTTATTTCAGACAATGTATTCTTTATTTCTTGTTGATCCTTTATTATTTCTTGTTGATCTCTTATTAGTTCTTGTTGATCCCTTTTCATCTCCTCATATCGACCTTTTCTAGGAAATTCTTGAAATTCTTATCGACCTTTTCTAGGAAATTCTTATAAGCGTTACCTGAGGTGGACAGTCTTGGTGTAGCCCTTTGTGGGATGTGTGTGCAGTCTTGTTAAGCCTTGCTAGTTGTTGGTATAACTGGGAAGCGTTGATCTCCAAGCCAATTGGCTATGAGGATCAGAAGTGTCTCAGCTAGGAAGGTTTCTGTATTCTGCTTGGATGGGCGGAGTCTCAGGGTGGCACAGACGAGCTTTGTTGAATCCCGCACGATTGGTTGCGGGCGCGAGCACCTCTTTGGTATAGGCGCAGACAAGCTTTAGATTCCTGTCTGCCCCTCCCTAGGAGAGTCCTATTGGCAGCGAATGAGGAAGCTAGCCACTGGAAGGGCCTCTGTGCTCTGCTTGGATGGGGCGTAGTGTCGGGTAGTGCAGACAAGCTTTAGTCAGCCCCTCTCTACGAGGGTCTGGTTTCTGAGTCCCACAGTAATGGCCGCTGGCCTCACACACCTCCGAGAGATCCCCGCCCACTGCCTGACAGTCTGGTCTCTTCCTGTCTGGGGCCGTCTATCAGCGCAATAGTGTGGTTCTGTTTTTCTCCCGAATAAGAAAGCCAGCCTCGCATTAGCTGTATGCCCTCTCTGCGCAGGGAGTAAGCCCGTAGCAAACTCGGCCTGCCCTCTTCGCGCTCCGCAAGCAAACCGGCACCGAACTCTGTGGCCGCTTTTTCACTCGCCCAGTTTTCCATACCTTCACAGTTCCTGAGGTTCAGCGGGCCTTCTCTCTCCTTCCCAGATGGTAGAGCCTCCCCTCAGCCAGCCATCCGGCGCTTCAGGGTGATGTTTCCCCTGTTTTTCAGTTCTAAATTCAAACTTGTTGTGGTAGGCTGCATTCAGGTGTCTGCCCTATGCCGCTATCTTGGTTCTTCTCTGTGAGAATTAAGTTTAAAGACTTGGTTTCTATTTTTATGCAAATTTTTAAAATGCCTTTTAAAAAACAATAATAAAAAGAATTATGTTTTCACCTAGTTAAGATGAAACAATATATGCTGTACTGTACCAATTATTTCTCTTTGTACAGTACAAAGGAAAGTGATTTTAAAAATCTCCATTCAGTGAAAATCCTATTATGATTCATGGTCAGCTTTGACAGCACATTTTGTGCACTGGATTTAAAGATTGTGTGCAATAGTCTTTAGTAAAACATTGATCGTTCTTGTCTCTCTCTGCTGTAGAGTTTTCTATTCTTATTTCTTTATGGTTTTAGTTTCTTTTTTTCTTGAGTTGCTTTTTTCTCAGAAAAAAGTCAGCCAAACTTTAATCCCAGTCTTTGAATATAGTTGTAGTTTAGTAAGTTGAAATTCACGATCAAATAAGATTATAGATTTTGTTAATTATTCTTACTTATGGTCTCTCTTTTTGGTGTTAGCAAGTGAAATAGTTAATTTAGTTTTTCAATTGGAAATTGGGTTTTAACACTACGTATATCCTATATAATATTGTACAAAGGTAATATGCAAATTGACCCAAACGGCAGAATGACCAGAATGATCGCTGGACCAGTCACCATGAGGCACACTTACCATCTCTTGGGCTGTTTCTCGCCCAGCTGGCTCCAATCACCCGATGGCAAATGGGGGACTGGGAGTAGGTGGTGGTGGGAGGCAGGGCCAGCTGCTGGCAGCTGTGGAATATGGCCCTAGGGACCATACCCATGCATGAATTTCATACACCAGGCCTCTAGTATTTCCATATTAGATAATTTGTATTATCAGTTCTACAGGATATATGGATGTACTTTTTCTTCAATGAACTAATAAAAAAATTGTCCTGATTAGCCTATCTCTATATATGTATATCTCATTTATTTCAGACTAGTTGATATGAAGTGAGATAAATAGTAATTGAGAAATTGTGTATTTTCAGTTCTTCTCTATGCATTTATAAACTTTTGTAATAGATATCATATGAAATTGGAAAATGAAAAGATATTAACATTTACAATCTTAAACAAATATGAGGAGATTGTAATGGCTATAAATGCAAAAGACCACAATATGCAAAGTTGTATAATATAGTAATTTATAAATGATATATAGTTTATAAATGATATTTATATAGTCTTTTTTTGTGAGGAACTTCAGATTACTTTGATTAAAATTGTAATTATTTTATGTTTTATAGATAAGGTAACTAAAAATACAGAATATTATTTACCTACTTTAAGGTAAACAATAAAAATGGGTTATATATTAAATATATTATTAAGATAGCAGGTGTATTTTATTTCAGGAGACAATTTTTTTTTCAGGAGACAATTTTTATCAATTTTCATACACATAAAATAATAAGTAAAGGTGGGAGAAACTTTTGGAGGTGGCAGATCTTTATGGCCTAGTTTGTAGTGATAGTTTAATGGGTGTATTCTATACTTTCTCTCCCAACTTGACAAATTATATCCATTAAATATGTACATTTTTTGTATGTCAATCATATCTCAATGAAGTAGTTTTAAAAAGAAAGAAAAGTGCTCGTCACAGTTAGATGTAAGACCCAGGACAAAACCAGAGAAATTTTATAGGCAACATAGCTTTGTTTAATTTTTGAGGAATTATTATCATCTTTGATGTTTGTGTTTGTTACTGTTTACATAAATTTAAGAGTTAGCACATAAATGCAAATAGTGGGTTGTTGTTGCTTACTTCAATGTAGAACTGAACCATGCTTTATTAATAGACCATGTATTTTGAAGCATAAATGGGAACATTTGATCTAACACATGGTTTCACTATGGAATAAGATAATTTTTGAAGGAATATTTTTTAATAGCAGGACTCCTTACGATTAGCTAATTGACCATCAGTAGATTTTATTTAGAGACTTTTTCCAGTGAATAGCAGCCAAGTTGTAAACTTCAGACAGCAAAAGCGTATGACAAGCATGCAAAATGCTTTTTATTTACCCGCACATGACGGACATTCAATCATGTTTGCTTTCCTCTATGAAGATCTGTCATCCATGGTACCATCTCTGTAGAGCAGCTCGCTGGTATTGCTTTAGGGGAGTATGAACCATCTGTATGTTTGGGAGGATACGAAGATATTTAAAGGGTCACATTGATTCATTCTTCAATCTCAGTGAAATACTTAGAAGTGCATATAAGGGAAGTTTAAAGAAATTAAATTTGAGTATCCTGTAAAACAGAAAGCTAAATGTTGGCCTCAGAACCATCTTAAGACTTCAGAACATTTATTATAGTTTGGTTGCTGGTAACACATTCTCCTTCTCTACCAAGAGCATTAAAAAGCACAGTGGCCTTAATAATTATAGGTGGAAGGTTGTAGGTTAGATAGAGGGAACAATTTCAAGTGATTAAAATTGGAATTTTGCACTGAAGAAGATTGTAAAATCACTTTGTTTTAGGATTGTAGGACAGTGTAACTATTCTACCATGTGGTCTGGTATGGATTTAGGGAATAAAAAGACATGGACTTATTTTAGCCCCTCAATATTCGTTTGGAGTCCAAATATGTATTGATATATTTACCAAGCATATACTAGATAAGAAGTTGGTTTAATTTCTGTTTTCCCCTTAAAATTCAAGCCAGATAGGTTCATAATCACTTGTATATTTAAAGCTCAGTAGTTTTCACTCTGGGTTTGCTTCTTAGAGGTATTTTTTTTTTTTTTTTAAACCGTTTAATCATTTTTAACCCCTTCAAATTGATGATTAGTTATTTATCCAAATTAGTTTTTGTTTCACACACACACACACACACACACACACACACACACAGCTCCTCTAAACTCTCTTGCAGTTAAATTACCCACACAACAAGATTACCCTATTTAAAGTTGAAATAAGGGTACATTATTCTCTTTCTTCAGATGGTTACTAAACACCTGGAGCCAGGCCATGGGGTCACCATATGTTGGTTTTCAATTTTCTTTTGTGTGATACATTGATAAGTAACCTTTCTAATCATTGATGCTCCTTCTTGACCTCTTCAGGGCTCTGCTCTCCCCCTTGGCCATCAAGACCCTTTATTGCAAACAGCTGTTGAGAGATGTTACTGATTGGGTAATGAGGACAAAGTCATATCCACAGTCAAGGACCCAAAATGGCATAGGGTTTAGGGTTTCCAAGGGCAGAAAATTTGTATCACTTTTATGATCTCTACAGTTGTTTAAAATGTAAAAATTAAAAAATAAATCTAGCAATAAAGATGTCATTTTCTCTCCAGATTCTATTTTACTCCTTAATGATATAATAAATATAAGTTTATATTTCTCTCCCCCTTATGTAAATGGCTTATTTTAGTTTTCTCAAGTAAATAAAAGGGCGTCTCCCCCCTAACTTATTAGTATCATTTACAGCTATGATTACATGAAAAGGATGAAAATTCTAGAGAATATAATTCTAATTTCTTTTATTGTTTTGAAAGGGTCTTTGACTATAAAATAATTCAATTATTCTGTTTTGATCAAAGCAGCTCTAGTTCAGTTTTTTACAGTTATTTTCTGAACGTCAGGTAATTCTGATATATTTAAGAGAAATAAGAAAGTAGCTTAGTTGTTTAGGGGTATTTTGGACATTGATATTAGCCAGGCCTGTTTCAGATCTAGATTTAATTAGGATTGAAGGGAGTTGCTAAATCTTTCTGAAACTATAATGTTTCTCCCACTTTCTAAACAGATTTTCACGATGATTAAATGAGATACAAATATAAATATGCCTACAACAGTAGTTGACAGTATTCCCTGATAAAGTATTAGCTGCTTTCACTTATTTTCCTGCCTGAAACATTCCTGCTATGGGGCATGAAGTATATATCCTGGCGCTTCTCCAATGAGGGCAGATTTGATTTTATTTCATCATTGTTCAGCTCTGATTTTTAGAAGGTATTTTTATAAATTGACCTGAAATCGGCTCCCTCTTAGCTTTTATTTATATTTTCCTTTTCCCCCCCCAGTTCGATTGAGAAATAACAGGCATATATCTCTGTGCATGTTTAAGATGTACAGCATAATGGTTTGATTTACGAATATTGTGAAATGACTACTACAGTGGGTTTAATTCACATCTATCATTTTATATAGTTACAATAAAAAAAAGTTATACTCTGAATCTAAGCCTTAATTTTTACGAAAGTGGTCTCTGTTAGAGGCAGCTACCCTCAAAGACCTATCTCTCTAAGAAGGAAGCAACCCAAGCCACAGGGTTAAGACCACAAAGGAGCAATTGCTTGGGGAACTAACGCCAGCAGAGATTTAAGTGTCCATATGCTTAATTAGACTGTGGGTGTTTTTGTTTGTTTAGTGGCTACTAAGTTATATAGGTTTTAAGTGGTCTCCTCTAACTCCCACCCCCACCCCCCATAAACCCTCTTTTGTTCATAAATGATTTTGCAGAATGCTAGGTTCCTCGCAGAATGCACTTATCACCTTTCAGCAGAAAGCAATAAAAATGCATTAATCTGGAATGCCTGGTGAGAGGGCTTGGAGGAGCATGCTAGGGAAGGATCCAAAGAGATTCCTTCAGTTTACCCTGTGGGACATTCCCATTTTCTAGAAACGTTTGAGTTAATTCACTGTTACTGCTTTATTTCTGAATTGTGTTAGCATGACACTAGTTCTTTTAAACCTTTTTTTAAAAAATTGAGATAAAATTGCTACATCCTATGTTTGTTTCAGGTGTACAGTATAATGATTCAATATTTGGATATCTTGTGATCTTCACACTGTCTAGTTCATATCTATCACCATACATGGTCACAAAATTTCTTTGTCTTGTGATATGTGATTTAAGTTTTGAGAGTTTAAAGGGTAGCTGGGGAATAATAACAATAAAAATGAATGTTATATATATAAGTTTATCTTTGCATTCCAGAATAATATTTTTTTATTGCCAAAAGATATTTTATACTCAGTAGTTCTAGTTTAAATGAAAAACTTGCAATATCATTAATAATGCTAGTTGATGGATTATATATAAAGAGAAATTGACATTTTTCAGTTTCTTCAAAGTAAGCTTTTTTGGCTTTTATTTAAAACACTTTATTCAAGTAAATGTTGAACAGCTTGTTTTAAGATCTGATAGCGTGTGAACCAAAAGAGGTTTTTTTATATTGCTGATATTAGAATAAGTGTTATAATTTTCCCATAATAATGTAGGACAATGAAAAACCATAATAAAGAAGACAGCTCCCAATAACATCTGAACTATATCAATTACAAGTAGCAGCATTTGTTAAAAAACCAAATTTCCCTTTCACAAAAGTGGTGGACTACATTGATGAACTGCAAATAGCATTGCTAGATTGTTCTTTAGGCAACTTTGGATTTTAGAAATTATTCCCTGCCCATGCCTATGGTCTCTATTTTCTTCTTAAAATGATCTTTTCTTGAATATTACAGTAGATCTAAGAAGTCAAATACCTAGCACCACTCTATTAGTAATTGGTAAGTTTGTTCTATTGTCTATACTTGAGAGTATTAAGCATATATTCCCTTTGTACATAGTCGTTCTTTCCCCCTACTCTTCCCTGTTAATGGAATTTCTGCACATTATTTTTAAAAGAGCTTAATCAATATTAAAAACTAAGATATACTTTATCCACTAAAATGAGAGTTTTAAAGACAAGCATTTACATAATTCTGGACAATGGACAACCCGCCTTCCTTAAGAGCCTCCTCCAAAATCCTCACTTTGATGGGTCGGTACCAGCAAGAAACAAACAATGCTGTGTGTCTGCGGGTGTATTTTATGGAAGAGTGGACGTGATCGTAGTCTTTACTTCTGATCAACTTGCTTTTGCCTTCTTTCCTAGGAAGTGTGTAGAGAGCTCTGGTGTCTCAGCCAAAGCAACCGCTGTGTCACCAACAGTATTCCTCCAGCTGAGGGGACATTTTGTCAAAGTGCGAGTATTGAAAAGGGGGTAAGCGCAAATGATTTATAAGCTATTTGATAAATGTTTTGTGTTGATATTCTGCTACTATCGTTAGGAAATCGTGTATATTAATTAAAATGTACTTGAGAAAATAGTACACTTCTAGTCTAGTGAGTTGATTGTCAAAACATTAGATTTATATCTAATCATTGTTTAGAACATTACAGTGAATAATATTTTCTGGGCCAGTTTCACCTTTCTGTAAGTATATGTAGGTGTTATATTTGTGTAGAAAATGTCTAATAACAATTCTACATAATAGAGTATGCTTAGTCATGTGTTCAGCTTTTTTTTCCCGGTAACTAATTCCCAGGAAAATTATGTGATCCCAAGATATTTTATAACTATAGTTTTCATTAGATTCACTTTTAAATTGCAATATGAAAGGGCTAATAGTTGAAGAATACTTAATTTATTGAGCATAGAAATTGGAACAAAGTAATTTTAGTTTCATCAGAATAGTTTTCAAAAATATTATTAGAAGTTATTGAAACAGATAAGAATCATTTATGCTATTCCTGAAGTTCTTTAAAAATTTCTAATTATGCAAATTCTGGAGTTTATGGCTATGGACTGAGTTTGCAATAATGTCATCTGTTCTCAGTTCTGACTTCTTCCATGGTGGTTGGGCTAGTTTCAACAAAGATTACACTGGATTTCAGTTTGCAACCTGATGTTTAAATAAAAAGAATGAAAGCTTTTGGGCAGCTGTCACAGTTTATTAATCCTTGCTGACGGCTTCATTCAGGACCCATGACCTAGTGCCATGTTGATGGCTTTTCCATGCTGTGTTTGGAAATGTTGGTAAATTATGCTAAATGTATGAATTGATTGGGTAATTTTTAAAGGATTAAGGATCTTTTTTTTGAAACTATGTAAGTAGCCAATAAAAATACAAAGACCTTCGCATACTACCAAAAATTCCTTCTTCTTCTTTTTTTCACTGGAGTAATAGAAAATATTAGGAACCACATTCTTCAAACAACAGTCTAGGTTTATTTTGGAACCAACAATTCTTGTCAACGACAAGTAGCAATTTAAATCAATCTGTATTTAGAAGAAATACACAACTGTAAGGGGGTAAGTCATAGTGAGAATCTGTTTCTTTATTTGCCATTGATTATTATTCTTGTAATCCAGTCCATGGGCCACAGTGTTTATTTGCTTGGAATAATACTGTCACTAGGTGTGATGGTTCTTTTTATCCAACTTTATTTCTTAACATACAGCATAAAAAATCATTCTTTTAAATACCTCAGAGCTCTCCTAAAGCATTCTATAAATTATATAATCACTCCAAATGAGTAAATCACAAGTAGTGGTTATTGGAGAACACATAGTTCAACCCTGCCAATCATTAACACATATTTAATATCTTATCATTTGTGCTTAATTGCAGGATTCTCAAACGTCATATTTTACAACTACGTGTATAGTATATGTGATAGACATGATATATTTCTTGAAAATTTCAGATAATTTTGATGAATATTTAGATGACAATAATATTAAAGCTAATGTACTGAATTTAAATTTAGATGAATAAGTAGAAGGGAATTATTTTTCTAAGCATAAATAAGAATGAGCACAGATAAAAAGTGAGTAAAATGGAAAAAATATATTTGATTTCTAAAGATTCACATTTTCAGGTTAGGTTGGTTATCACTTTTTGACTCCTAGCCCCTTTTTTTCAAATGAAGTCTACATAATTCTGATGCGTACATTTTAAGTGACAATGATCTGGTTAAAAAAATCCCTTACCTGACTCCTTACCCTGTCGGCTTCTGATGTACTTCAACAGAACATCTTGAACTCCATAAAAAACTATTTGAGAAGCTTGTAAGTGTAGCAAAGCTTGTGTACCAAGAGGTCCTTTATATTCCCAACATTAGAGTTTAGTTTGATAAAGTCAGCATGTTGGATTTCACCATCTAAAATTATTCTGCCAAACAAAAATCTTAACTGTTGTTCCAGGGTTATGAAAGGTCAGTAGACAGCTTTAGGAATGGTGCTAAGTCTTAAAATGAATGAACAAAAACAAACACATGTAGACTCCTAGAAAGAAAAAGGACAGCACTCTAGGAGAAGACCTTGAATATCTTCCTACCATTAACTTTGATTTTTTGAAGATGTTTTTAAAGAACTAGATCCACCTACATTTATAAGCAAAAAAAAAAAAAAGGACATTTGAGCTCAGCAGTTCTGAATTTATTTTTTAGTAACTACATTTGTTATATCTTTTTACAACTTTTGTTGGTGGTGATTTAAGTTATTTTTCTCCTTAAAAGAAAAGTGTTTATTGTTGCCAAACTGCAGATTTTCCATCTAGGGTTATATCTGTCTGGAAATTAAACCAGAGCTCAGCATTTTGACTCAAAACAACCATGCAAAAAAGAGCTAGGGACAAAAATCAAAGTGGAATTTTCGGTTGGTCAGGTCAACTTTGTGCGGCCAGTCTGTGTCCTTGCCAGCTGAAAATAGTTAGCATTGGGAGCAGTCTGGAAGAGGTTGGTGGTGGGGGAGGGGGGAAAGACCCTATGTAATACTTGCAACAATAAAGATTTTTTTTTTAAATTAAAAAATAGTTGGCATTACAAATAATGATGATGGTGATACTGAATATTTTTCAAGTACTTACACTGTGCCAGGCACATATTTGTTCTGTGCCTTATAGTGACAAAGTCCTATGAGGTAGAAGTTGTTTTATTTCCATTTTGCAGATGAGGAAACTTAAACTTGAAAGCCTGAGAATACACAACAATTTAATAGCAGGGCGAGATTCCAACCCAGATCTTTCTAATTCCAAAGTTGGAAACTGATTGCCTCTGATTTTACTTTACCTTTAGCTCGGAAATTTTGTAGAGAAAAAAAAGCAAAATTTTGTTGTCATGGGAATAAAATGAGTCACTGAGCTTGAGATTGGTAATCACAATGTATTCTATCCTTTAATTCTAAGTGGGGTTTTTACTTACTTACCTGTGACAGCATCTTATCTCAGGAATCACCGTAGGAAGGCACTGTAGGCAGAACATTAGCTAAGAATATATGATTGTGTTACAATTGGCAAAATAATGAATCTCCATTTTAAAATGAGAAGTAACCTATTTCTACCTATTTCATAGAAATGTTGTGAGGATGAAATGAGATACTATCTCAGTGAACTTTTTATGGTTTTTCTGGAGAAGTACGGTTCTAGTATATATTACTAGAGCATCCTTGCCACTTTGGTTTATTATTTGCCAGCCTTAGGTGATTGTGGGGCAGAAAATTCTTTGTCAGATTATCTTATCTGGCAGTATCAAGCATTAGAGACTATAAGGATAAATTTGTGTGCCTCAGAAACATGAATGGAGTGTCCACGACTTCTGATTTTAGCTCTAAATTTCAAAACTACTCTCATCAGAAGAAACAAGAAGGAACCTACATCCTGTCTAGCCAGCAGGATAAAAACAAAGCTGCTCAAAGTTTTTTGAATAATTTATTTTAAATGGTGAGGGGAGAAGGATTGCTTAAGTGATAGCATAGACAAATCCAGAGGACTGGATCCACAATGATCTTGTCAAACTCTGGCTGCAAAAGATATGGGATCCCTGCCCGAGGCGCAGTTCCACAAATGTTCCATGTAAGCATGGGAACTGTTCCATGCACATTTAGCAGATGGAGTAAGAAATATGGCCAAAAAATTAAAAACTGATCTTTGCATGAGTCCTGGGGGGTCTGACATCGCTATTACAGCCATTGGATGTTTGCCTGAATAAGCCATTCAAGGATTGAATAAGAACCATATGGTCTGAATGGATGTGCTTAGGGACAGTAGCATTAACCAAAGGAAGAAATTTGATGAGCCCAGACAGTGCGCTAGTTGGTACTGTGTGTCCACGGGTCAAACGCCTGCAAATAAATCAGTATAACTTTAACCCAAAATTTTTTCTTTAGAAATGGCATCAGCAGTAGCACTTTGGACAGTCATTGGAGGGATGCCATATTTGATGAAATAGTAAACAAAGATTTAGTCTGTGAAAACTTTGATAGCAGTATGGGCATTGTTATGGAACAGGATATCAATGCAAGCTCTGATTTTGACCACAAAGAAGGTTTAGAATATCTGGTTTATTTCCAAAAGATTGATTTGATGATTCTACAAGATCCAGTTAGAGATATCGCCCAGCATTTAGACTTACATATATATATATATGACATTGGTTCTTAATATCTTTGTATGGGAAACACAGGGCTGGCTTAGACCAGGAATATTATAGACACTTCTAAAGCATTCCTATACAATAGGATATTTGCAGCCTTAGATCTTGGAGTAGAATATAACATGTTTCAACTGGGTCCCAAAACTAGCTCTTGAATTGCTCTAGAAATTTCTATAGCATGGGATGATAAGTTCTGATTTAGAATTTGGGCTGGAATAAGCTTCAGCATTCCTGCACCTGGAGAGTGGAAAGATAAGGCCTTTAATAGTGCTGTGCTTTAACTTTTCTGACTTGGGAAGAACATTCTATATTGAATCATCAATATCCTTTGCTTTAAAATCTTAGGATTTCCTTAGAGATCTCTCATTCCAGATGCTGGCTAGACCCAGAGCTGGCTATGGTACAGATCTATAATCACATCCTACAATGACTCTAGTTAAAAAATATGTATGTTTTCAATATAAAAAAAAAACGTTTTAGAAGTATACTCATCTTGAAAAATTTTTGTGGAATTCTGAAAAATTCTCAAATTTAGATTTTTAATTTATAATGTATCTTGCTTGAAGACAATTTCTTGATGTGGATTATGAAATTCAGCAGAGATGTTGTTCAATAATTATTTCTTTTTTAAAGCTTCACTAGAGTATATTGTCTTCCTAGATAATTTTTAAATATATTTGTTTTACTTTGAAGGAATGTGGAAAGCAGGAATTCTTGAACAATCTGAGAACTTATTCTTGGAATGTGATAATTTCACTTTTACCTTTCTAAACCTGGTTAAACACACTTGAATTAGCAAAAAGAAGGCAAAATTATTTATCTGGATAATTTGGGCTGAATTAATATGACTGATATTTAGAATACATCACTAGATTAGATATAATCTTAGAGAATAAAGATTCCCATATGAAGATTTCACTCTTTTTCATTTAAGAAAAGAAGTAAAATTCCATGATTTTGAAAATAGAGCTTGTAAAGGTTTGGCAACTTCAGGCAAAGAAAAAAAAAGAATAAAAATAGAAAAGACAACACTCAAAAATTTCTTATGTGCTTATAGGATTTATATACTTCAGGTTGCTTTACTTAGTATAATCTAATTATACTTGTGACTTACATTTAATCAGTATATATTGATGTAATTATCTAGAAAATTAGTTCAAATAACTTTATCCATATGAAGTTTCCTATGGATTTCTTAAAGCAGTTATTACTATGTTAGATAAGTTTCTTCTCTTAAAAGCATGTGCTACATCAAGATACTTGCTACTACCAGAGGAGGGAAGTAGCAAGAATTCCAAAGAGCTCCCTTCCTATAAACACGAAAAGTCAAACAAGTCCTTTGATGTGTTTTTAAGTTCTTTGAAGGTATGTCTGCACAGAAGTAATGTCTAAAGTTGTCCTAATCCAAGCCATATTGGAATCGAAAACTAAAATGAGTCCCCATTTTATAGTTAGGGAAACTAAAGAAAATAAATAAATGACTTGCTTTAAACCAGAGAACTCAGGTCTATAACACAGACTACACACAGAGTGAAGTTGTCCCTGTACAGACTGAAGTTGTTGACTAGTTAACAAAGTTGTTAATTACTTATTAAACTAGACAGTAGTCTCTTGTCAATTCGTAGATAGATGATACTTAAATTATTATTATTATTACTACTACTACTACTAGATACTACTAGAGGCCCGATACATAAAATTCATGCAAGGGCCTTGGCCCTCCCCCCTCCCCACACCCACTACTGCCACAGCTGGGGCCTCTGCTGCAGCCCCTACCCACTGAGGCTTTGTCTGGAAGGAAGGATGTCTGGAAGATCATCCAGTCTAATTAGCATATTATGTTTTTATTATTATAGATGAATTCTTTTTTAACCTCTTAATATTTGTTATTTAATTATCTGATATTGACTATTATGTTATAATTTCATGGAATAGATTTAATCAATAGGATGAATTTATGCAGTACAAGGTTCTAGCAAGCCAGTTATGAAATACTATGTAAATGTTAAATAATCATGAGAATAGAGCAACATTTTGTAAGCTGAATCTTGTATTTATCTTTTACCTTAAGGATAGGTTTTAAAAGGAAAACAAAATCATTTGTGTGACTTCTTTCTATGTCCTACACTTTGTGAGTCTCCAGGAAACGTATAACAATGTTATTTAATACTTTGGAACCTACATCTCTCTTATGTCTTTCACGATTCCTTTAGCCCCTGAAAATGCAGAAAGTGATTTTTTTCTTTGCCAATTATAAGAGTACCCAAGGAGGTCTGAAATAACATGTGGCCGTTCACTTATAGCTAAGTGGATTTTTTTCATTTTCAGTCTCTAGTGTTATTTTGTATTTTATGTAGTAAAAACAGTTCAGTAAAGTATAGTGGAATGTTATTTAATGTTTTCAGATATAGAATTCTACACCTTCAATAGGTTCCCCTCTACCCTGCCCCTCCCCCTCGACACACACACACACACACACACACACACACACACACACACTGATTTTTGGACAGATAATTCCTTTTTTTCTAAGTAATGTTGGGCAGGTCAACCTGCTGTAGAGTTCTGGTTTCCTCCTCTGAAAAAATGAGGTGCTTAGATCTCATGAATGCTTAAATTCTTTTCAGCTTTAGAGCTCTGTGCTTTTATAAAAAAAAAAAAATCAAACTTTAATGTTATTTGAAATCAATAATGCTAGATTTCCAACTTGAAAAAATAGACAAATTTTAAGAGTTGGAGTTTTTAAAAGTGTTGACATTAATTGAAACCATGGTCCAAATCAGTCATCGCTGGTCAATACTACTTTGTTCAGTCATTCTCAGAGAAAAAATAGGTACAGGCTTAGATGTTTGTACACACAGGTACTTCTAATAACAAAAATGTAAAAACAGAGATTATTTGGCCTAATGTGACTCTTATATAGGTGAAGGTCTAAGACAATTGGTGGTATATCATTCTACAAATGATTGGTCTTTAAGATCAATTAGGTAAGCTATAAGCTGGCAGCTGGCACATGCTCTCCTTCTCCATGTACATTATATTATATCGGTTCAGCCAGTTGATATTGTATTATCTCTGCTTCATCATTTTGGACAGATGGGTATTTTTTTTTCATGGTAATTTTCATTGTCAAAACTCATAATCTTTTTTAATGTCTTACTTTAATATCTACTAAGTTAAGGCTCAGAATGTTCTGCCTTATAGCCAACCAAAATTTGAATTCTTCTTGCCTAATTTTTTTTTAATGGACAAGTGATAATTGCTTAACACTTCTCTAAAAAGCCTTTTATGTTGTCACAACTACTAAAACATTTGCTCCGTGCTGGCTACCAGGGAAAGAAAGGTGAGTTTGACTCTCTTTGCCCTCTAGTAGTTCCAGTTCCTTCCTAACATGTAGCAACCAAAACAGAACACAGGATTCTAGAACTGAACTAACTTTGTCATTCAGTCAGTGGATTTTTGTTGCTTATTTACTACACGCTAAGCACTGTCCGAGATAGAACGCTCTGTGGTGACAGACGTGCTGGATCTGCTCTGCCCAACATCGTAGCCACACGTGTGGCTATGAAGCCCTGGAATGTGGGTCTGAGGGACTGGATGTTTAATTAATTTAAATTTAAATAGCCACACTTGTCACATTAAGGTTTTTACATACTAACGAGAGGAGACAGACAATAATGGAGTAATTTGAAAAATAAACAGGGTAATTTAAAGTAGTGTGAACTAAAACTATTAAGTCCTGGAGGTTGCACTTTGGGATAAGGGTGGCCAATCAAGGAAAGAGCTCTCTGGTGAAATGGCACTTGACCTGGGACTGAATGAAGAGAACACAGCAATACAATTCCTTATATTGTGAGAAGGGTATTCCCAGAAGGACCAGCAGATGCAGGTGCCTTGTGGAGGGAACGGGCTGAGTGTTTGAGGAAAGGAAGGAAGGCTGGTGTGTCTGAAGCAATCTGAGAGAGAGAGGAGAGAGAGAGAGAGAGAGAGAGAGAGAGAGAGAGAGAGAGAGAGAGAGAGAGAGAGAGAGAGGAGGCAGGGCTGGTTCCCATAGGCCACAGCAGACCAGAGTCTTTTAAGCAAAAAAGAGACATGATGTGATAATATGTTTTTTAAAAAGATCTCTCTGAATGCTTACTGGAGAACAGACTGGTTATAGGTAGGAAAAAGTGGAAGTAGGGGGACCAGCTAAGAAGCTATTCCACTTGCCATTGGTAGCAGTGAAAAAGGTGAAAAGTGAAAAAATCCTGGATATATTTAATTAGTATTACACAATGATTATTTTAAGCATCATATGTCCTAATCCCAGTATGTTTTAATATAAGGCTGAATTTTTATTTAGCTAGCTAACATTGCTGACAGTTATTCAACTCTAATGTTGTTATTCATGCGAACAAATGACTTTTCATAGCATCAGTATGGTTTTCGATGTTTGATGGCAATTCACAAAAATGCTCCGACAAAAGCCTAGAAATGCTTGTTGATGTTGTTGTTGCCGCTGCTTAAATGGCTTTCCTTTTTACCATATTCTGCATGTTAGAGTTATGAGCTGATTATTTGATGTCTGCATCTCGATAAATTATTCCTGGCTTTCTACTTAGGTGCAGTATGTGTGGTTTATTGCAGAGAGTAAAGCTGAGAAGAATTCCAATCCACATGTTCGTGCAGGGGCTGCGCACATGGCTGGTCGGTGTGCATAAGGGTTTTTTTGTACCCAGTCCCTCGTGTCTTGGCATTGCTTTTATTATGTCTGCAGGACTCTTGTAGATGAAATGCCACAACACATTCTTTTACTATTGTAGCCTCAACCAGCCTTCTCTTTTTCTTTCTTTGGTTCTTTTTCTTTCTTTTCTTTTTTCTTAAAGAAAAAGCAATTACCATCATAAAAATTCCTTACTCGAGAACTTTCCATATTGCGTTATCATTCCATGAGTCTAACAAGAGTGGGATATAAAGAAAGAAGAAAATTTTTTTTTTAAATACTAGACTATCAAAAAAAGACTTCTGAGGTCTCCATAAATGAGAAACACGAAAAGTCTGGAGTAGGTGAAACAGTAAGGGGAGAGAAGTAGACTCGTGTTTTTTTTAGACTCCTGGTACATGTGAGAGATTTTGAAATCACTGCCTCGCTAAAGATAATTTGCAAATCACACGCACCACCACCAAATGTGTAAACACCCTTAAAGAACTCTGCTATCTTATATTGGGAGGATGCTAATGCCTGTCATTGGTCATTGCCTGAACTTTGTTGTATTTCTGTCCCAACAGCTGTATCTGCCTAAAAAGCTAATCCTGTGTTTTCTGTGCAATCTTGCAGTGGTGCTATCATGGAGATTGTGTTGCCTTTGGCACTTCGCCCCAGAGTGTGGACGGGGGCTGGGGTTCCTGGTCACTGTGGGGGAAGTGCAGCCGGACCTGCGGGGGAGGCGTCTCCTCATCCCTGAGACGCTGTGACAGTCCAGCGTAAGTAGCTAAAGTAAGCCGCAGCCAACAAAAAGACACAGTTGGAAACGATTCAAAGCTGTGGTTTCACATGTTATCTGTAAAAACGTTTCCCTCCCGGGCCAAGTGCTTGTCTTCAGAACAAGCGCTAGGCAAGGAGAGCCGAGGAGCCTTGTTAGACAGACTTTCCTTTTCTTCCTCGTCCCTTCCTAGGCGGCTAAAAATAAAAGGAAGCGGGGGAAAAAGACAAGCATTGTGTATCTACCCCAGGTAGAGCCAGACTGCTTAATCTACTAATAATCAGATAGATTTCCTCTTCCAAAAAACTACTGAATTATGGATGAATCCAGGTCTGGTCTTCGCTATAGTACCATTATTCCCAGGAAACCTGAGGTCTTTTCACATGTCACATAAAATTATTACTGCTACAGTAGTATTAAAAGGACCAATGAGAGCCCTTCAAGGGCTGAAATGCCTTGATTCGCATCACAAATCACAATGAAAAGAATACTGCCCATGTGTTAAAATAGTTTCCTTTCACATGCCCCCATTAATCATCTTCCGGAGTTGCCACCACTTCTCTCCCCGTGGCTGTTTTATGCAGGTCAGACTGCTCCTCTCCCTCCATCTTTTCCTCCAGCTGGAGCTCCTCTGGCGGAAGGCCAGCCCCCTCAGTATTCTTTGCTTTGCTTGTGCTTCTCCCCCCTCCCCCCCCCCCCGCTGCTGCCCCTTGCAGGTGGACAGCTCCTCTGCATGGTCTTCCAGGCCCCTCCGGAGACTGAACTGCTCCTTAGCGGCTGCAGCAGGTCAGGGCTTACATTCTTGTCTAGAGCTCAGGTTGATGGCCTCCTTTGTGGTGCAGAACCAGGTGATGCTACATCACTTCTGCTGTTTTTCTTCCTTCTGGGGTAAAAGATGGTCTCTATTTATTTTCCCCTCATTGTAACTCAGGATCCCTCTCTTTGGCTCCTCTCTCTGTCTCTTTTCTTCTCTTTTTAGATTGAAGTCGTTTCCCTGGATGTTAGTTCTGTGTTTCCATTCTCCCATTTTCTATCTATTTTTTGCCTCCTGCTAAACAGAGCTCGCTCGCTGTCACCTGCGCAAAAAGCAGCCATGCTACCACCATCCCTATTACTTCGTTTTTGTCTGATCCACCCATTTCTCCCAAGCTGGTTCAAGCTGGGCCATTCGTTTTCCATGCTTAGAGTCGCCATTCACTGGCATTCGAAACATATCCAAAATCGTCACTTAAATTATCCCATTGATTTCAGTAAGCCAAAGTTGTGATTTAAACTTTGCTACGTTTAAAACAAGTACAGAATAATTAACCTAAGTTCAACTGTAGGCTACTGTAGAATAATAACCAAAATTATAAAACTCTATAATAATCAATAATATTCCCAGATATTTAAGAGCATGACAGGACCTCTTTTAAAAGAACAAGTTAGCTTTCAAAAGTAGTATTCAAATAATAGCACATGGCTCTCCCTAATGTTGAATACTTTAAAAATTAATTGATGAAAATAAAATACTTGACATCTCACGTTTTCATTAATTTGAGCATTATTTAAAGTATTTATATAATGCAAACCCATTAGATGTTTAGATTTAACTTTTTAAAACTGTATATTCAAAATGAGAAATTCATTTCTGCATTATTTACTTGGAAGTGAAACTATTTCCAGAGAGTCATTTAGTTTCCTCTCCTGTTTTCAGTCTGGAAAAAAATCAAACTTTTCATTCCCAACTTGATGAACAAATAGCATCGGATGATGGGTTTGTTGAATATGATTCAAGTGGCTTTTCATCATAAATAACTGAATTTTAAACTGGAACCTCAAATTAAACTAATCACCTGTTTACTATGATAATTAAAAAACACAATGATTTAATTGAATTTTCCTAATGTAAATCATGACAATTAACAGTCTTGTAAAGTTACTCATAGTAAATTGCCTTAAGTTTAACATATTATACAACAACCATAATCATTATTACTAACAGTCCCCAGCATGATTTTTTAAAATAACTAATAAAATGTTCAATTTTGTATTTTCTTGAAGTGAATGTTAATATGTTTTCATCATTCAATATATGTACTTTCTATGTGGATAAATATAGTATATTCACATGTTAAATAAAATGTATTTTCAGACCTTCAGGAGGTGGAAAGTACTGCCTTGGGGAAAGGAAACGGTATCGCTCCTGTAACACAGATGTAAGTAAAACCAAACTCTGCTATGAAAAATTACTTTTCCCCCAGAGCAGGGAGATTTTTAAAAATTGTAAGCTTTTTGATCAGAAATCCATATGTGTGATGATGACATTCATTCTTATGAAGTTGTTAATAATGAAGGGAATCAGCCTAGGTCTATGAGTTCCATCAACAGGAGTCCAAGAGGAAGAGCACCAGCACCAGGAGGAAATACCCTGTGCCCCCAGCTTCCCTGGTCCCTCAAACGCTCACAGCTTTACCATCATTATGTTTCTTGAGTCCAGCACAGTTACTATGCTCTTTATCCTGTTTCATATTTGCCACTGCAAGAAGCCCTACACTCCCACATCTAATCCCATAGGCTCTGCATATCCCCTCTTCTGTTTCCTGCTCCTGGCCAGCTGTTGAAACTCCTCTGTGCCTCAGGAATTCATGATCCACCATCAGCAAAATTCTTGATTCCTATGAATTTTCCTTCCTTTCACCTTGTTCTAATGGAAATGGGCTCTCCTCTAGAGATACTGCTTCTTCTGCAGCTCTTCAAAGTTGGTTTTCTCCCTGGGCTCTTGAATGACTGGGTCTAAAAGTAGGTTGAATCTCTCTTGTTATTTCATGACTTCTTCCAGATAAAACGAAATAAGGGATGCCCTAAGCAGTTTGGCTCAGTGGATAGAGTGTCAGCCTGTGGACCGAAGGGTCCCAGGTTCAGTTCTGATTTAAAGCATGTACCACAGTTGCAGGCTTCTTCCCAGCCTGAGTCCTGGTTGGCACTTGTATAGGAAGCAACCAATTGATGTGTTTTCTCTCACATCCTCACATCGATGTTTCTCTCTGTCTTTCCCTCTCTCTTCTACGCTCTCTAAAAATCAATGGAAAAATATCCTCTATTGAGAATTTAAAAAAAGCGAAATAAACCAGTTAAAGAAGGACAAATATCACATGACCTCACTTATATGTGAAATCTAATGAACAAAATAGATCCAGAGACATGGAGGCATGGAACACACTTGAATCTCAGAGAGAAGAGATGGAGGAGTAGGAAGAGATTAACTGAAGGATATATTTACATATATTCGTAGCCCGTAGACACAGACAATAGTGTGATGAATGCCTGGGGTGGGGCAAGGGTGAGTGGAGAGGGTCAAAGGGGACAAAAGGGAGACATCTGTAATACTTTCAACAATAAAGATGAATTAAATAAAAAACACAAAACCACAGCTTTTACTTTCATGTCATCAGACCATTACTCTCTAACTTCACTCTCTAACTTCACTCTCTAACCCTATATCTATTTTAATTCTTGGTTATGCCATAATTATGCAGATAATTTTCCAACATCTAGATTTTTCCATAAGCATACAAACCTATTGTTATTTCTCCTATCATGAAAAAACTAAAAAACAGCCAATTATTTTCTCACATCTTATCTTCCTTTGTAACAAAAATCCCTCAAAAATGTTGTCTGTACTTACTGAACCTAATTCCTCTTCTCATTTTCTCCTAAAATTGCTCCTGTCAGGTTTTTGCCTCCATCATTCAACTGAAAATGAGTTGAATGTCATATCCTCAGAGCTCCTCCCCTGCTCTCTTAGCTAACTAACTTTCTTCATGTTTTATTGGATATGAGACCACATGCCTACTCTTTAACCAGCCATGGGCAAAAGGAATGAGATTACTATAATTGGTTTAGTCTAATCCAGATATGCTTCTAATGGGGTTAAGGTCACATTCCCTGTGAGGTAGATTCCTGAGCAAAAATCAGAACTCTGTTTACAAGAAAGTAAAGAGTAACAGATATTGGTATGCCACAGATGTCTGTGTCAGATCTCTTTAAATTTCTCTCTTTGCCATAGTACCCCCTTATCTGAGCAGGATACATTCTAAGATCCCAGGGGACACCTGAGACCCCAGATTGTACCAAACCCTATATATACTTCCACCCATTCCCATATGTGCATACCTATAGTCAAGTTTAACTTAGAAATTAAGCACAGTATGAGAGTCACAGCAATAACTAATAATACAATAGAATAGTTATAACAATATACTACAATAAAAATTACATAAATATCTCTTTCTCAAAATATCTTATTGTACTGTACTCACCTTCCTTCTTGTGATGGTGCAAGATGATATGCTGGACAAAAAGATGGAGTTGGGATTGTGTGAGATTTCATCACATTACTCAGAACAGAATTTAAATTTAAAGGGAATTTAAGTGCAATTTAAAACTTATGAATGGTTTACTTCTGGAATTTTCCATTTAATATTTTCAGACTATGATTGACCTTGGGTAACTGAAATCATTGAAAAGGGGGGACTATTGTATTGGTAGAGATAGTAGCAATAGAAGTAATAGTAGTAGCTGCTACATTTATTGAGTACTTAGTATCTATCAGACCTATTATTTTACCCATATTTTCACCCCATACTGACAGTTCTCCTCAGTAGTGACTTGCCTTGGTAAGACATTTTTAATTTCAAATTTTTCAACATAATCTAGAAATACTTTAATAATTTAAAATACAGTTAATTAACATGTTACTCTTTTATTAGGTAGACTAGAGGCCCATTGCACGATATTCGTGCAAGAATAGGCCTTCCTTCCCTGGCTTCACTCCAAGCCACCTGGAAGCCTGCATATCCAAGCTCTCTGCCCACCCAGGAGCCGGCAAGTCCTCACTTCTGTCCAGAACACCGCTCCTGTAGATCCCTCCACTGGCCCCCTTCCTCTCATAGCAGGCATCCTGCCCCTCATGGTCACTCCGCACCTGCATATGCAAATTAACCTCCATATTTTTGGGTTAATTTGCATACTCTCTCTGATTGGCTGTGGGCATAGTGGAGTGATGGTTAATTTGCATGTTTCTCTTTTATTAGGTAAGATATTTGGGTTTGTAGAGCAGAATTTTATGGATGCACAGATGCTAAGAATTCATTGGTTAAGGACAGAGTTCCCCTCTTTGGGCATAGAGATAAATGATTGATAAGGTCCTGCAATTTCTGTAAATGTGTAAAGGTAGGAACTAACAGAAATAAAGCCACCAGATTTGTGCATTATCTGCTGAAAGGTGTTGGCTCAAAATTTTATTTTTTGTTATTATTTGTATGGAATCTCCTTTTTACTGGCATACAAAATTTTGACTCTTAATCAAGCATTTCTGTATCCTGAGCAATTTTTCATTCTAATGACTTAAAACTATCATGCAAAATGTTCTAATATTGGTGGACATAGTATAACTATTTCAATAGAATTTATAGATGCTATGAATACATTATTTGATAGCTTGATTTTTTTTTTTGTAATAAGGAAAAATATGGCCATGTTAAGTTTATAAGCCAAATTTTATATCAAAGCCTAAAGAAGAACTATTATTATGAAAAGGATTTTTCTACATTTTAAAAAAGAATTTCCTGATGTTTCTTAGGTATTTCCCAAAACCAAAAAATTCCTTGTATTTGTCCTATTTGTTATTATTTATCATTATGCATCTGCTGATAATGTGACTAGGATAGAACTTATGGTGAAAACTCAAGTTTCACTTTGGCTGAGATAGAAAGTTATATTATTCATGTATCTTAAGCATGTCACTTCCCTCCTTTATTTTATGCATCAAAACTACAAAAATTTATAGAATCAAAGTGAGTTTTCCAGGTCTGTTCTAGAATTTAAGCAGATTGTATGGTTACTTGGGTTTCTTCTCAGTCAAGCTGTGCTAAAGGGTATGTTGTTCTGAAATTGTTTTCTTCTTCAGTCCATTGCTTAAGGTCATTAAGTGGTATGATTGCCTTGGTTGTGTACACAGAAAGCATAGTCTTTATTTAGAGGTAGGATTGTAGTGAAAAAGAATGGGCATTGTATTTCCATTGACTGAAGCTGAAATCCTGACTGTAACACTTGTTGCTGTTTCACCTTGGCATGAAACCTAACCTCAGGAAACTTTAGGGAGCTCCTATAATATAGGACCTATATGGATGGAGTGTGATTATATCAAGCTTGCAGGGCTGTTTGAGAATTAAAGAAGGAACACTTGCAAGCTATCTAGTGCTACTCCTAATACTTAATGTGTCCTCAATACAGAGTATACATTAAGTCTTAAGTACACGTTTATGTTCTATAGATGAAAAAGTACTTACCTACATTAAATCCTCAGATTACTTTTCTAAAGAGGAAGGACACGTCCTTTTAAAAGAAGGAACAGGCCAGTGCCATGGGAAGGATTCAGTAAGGTAGAATTTCTGAGTACTGTCCTAGAGCTCCCATAACAGAAAGAGACCCTGAGAGGTGGGTGTTGCAAGGGAAGCTTCTCTGAAAGAGTTTGGTCACCTTAGACACTGACTGTCTAACCTCACACTTCATCTGAATCACAGAGCTGAGAGCATCCTGAAACTACCAACCTCCCCTCCAGCCCCCCGGGGGAGAGGTGTGGTGCCAGAGAACAGAGCGGATTCATTAACTAACAGTTTGTAACTGTGTCCCAAGTTATAATCAAAAAACGAATTAGTATCAGCCACTTTATCCTCATAAATATTGTACATAATATACTATTTTATGTGTAAAAAAATAACGGGACCAGTGTCATTACTCTTCTTTAAGTATAAATTGTATGGGGTGCATCAAATTTTGAAAATAATACTAGGTTTAAGCACAAAAGAGAGCTTGCTTGTTTATTTTGTTCTTAAAAGAGATGTTTAAAAAATTATCAAGTAAAAGTTTGTTTCTTAACATTTATAGGCTTAGGGGGAAGGGTTATGTTATGGATAGATGGCATCCTAATTAAATTTGGACTCTGCAAGGTATTAACTTTAGTTGTTTTTAAAAAAATATATATTTTATTGATTTTCCACAGAGAGGAAGGAAGAGGGATAGAGAGCTAGAAACGTCGATGAGAGAGAAACATTGACCAGCTGCCTCCTGCACAACCCCTGCTGGGGATGTGCCTGCAACCAAGGTACATGCCCTGGACGGGAATCGAACCTGGGACCTTTCAGTCCACAGGCCG